GAAAATACGGTTAACCAAGACGAACCTTTGCGACAAATTATTATCGATTCATCGCAATTGCTCATGTTTTACTCAGGAAAGTCGGCAAATTGCGAGTAATTACGGAATGGAGAAGACCGATTAATTGTTTTCTTTGCGTTATATCAACGGCCATAGTTAAGAAATGAGAAGAGGAATTTAGGCTGAATCAATTTAAAGCCTCTCAAAACCAAGTCAAAATATAAATTGAATTTTTTGGTGACATTGTATGGCTACTCAACGAATAAGTTTCTAAAACTTGCTGAATCTATACCATTCCCTCGTTCTCCCAATGAAGACAATTGACTTTCAACAAATCTTCCTTTCTTTACCCTTTGTAAAAGCTGCCACGATAAGTAAGGATTAAAGATTAATGAAAGTGATCGAACAATAATAATGATAATAAATCGAACGATAACATATATTTCACGATGATCAGCCGACTGAGGGTCCTCTAAATACAGAAATGCCAGTGAAATATAACGAGAAATTACATTGGAATAAAACGAAAAATGACACAAATGTCAATGAACCAGCTTATCGTGACGTTATCAAAATGGGAAATAGGGTAGAAAAAGAAATGTTGAAAATTGAGTGTTGTCGGAGGTTAACGACTCATTTCATATGGTCAGAGATTCGAGAATTCCCAGCTGTTGCAATTGATGTACTGTTAGGTAAAAAAAAAATTGTTCATTGCCGAATAAGCCCGTATTTTGAAGAAATCTATCACAAATATGTGTTTGCTTATAGGAAATATCACGGCTGCGACTCAGCACTTCTTAGTCTAACCGAACAATGGAAAAAAGAAATTGATAACAATAAATTGATCGGTCTGGTCTCCATGGACTTGTCCAAGGCTTTCGACACCTTACCTCATGAACTGATTGTTTTGAAATTAAAAGAATATGGAGCAGATGAAGCAACAACCTCCCTGATAAAAGATTATTTATCAAATCGATTCCAAAGGGTGAGACTGGGGGATACGCTTTCCAATTGGCAACCTATATGCAATGGTGTACCACAGGGATCCATCCTCGGCCCTTTATTATTCAACATCTTCATGAATGATCTTTCATATGTCATCAAGAAGTGCACTCTGTCCACTTACGCTAATGACATTCAAATCTTTTACGCCGACAATCAACTCTCCAAAGTTGAAGAAACAATCAACAATGATCTTATTAGTGCTGATATATGGTTTGCGCGTAATGGTATGAAGAGGAACAGTTCAAAATACCAGGCTATGGTGTTGGGAAAACACAAAGGAACTGATGCACCAGTGTTTAAGTGTGAGGAGTCACAACTTCCCATATCCAACACAATGGAACTTCTTGGCGTGACAATCGATGATAAATTAAATTTTGAAAAGCACATTGCTAAAATATGTAGAAAAGTCAGTCAACAAGTCGCCGTATTAAAAAGGATGCAGAAAATGTTGTCTTTTGAGACTAGAAGGGATCTTTATAAAGCTTTCATTTTACCACACTTTAATTACTGCTCCGAAACGTGGCACTTAGGTAATAAAAAGTCAGCTGACAAGTTAGAGTTGGTGAACAAACGTGCGCTCCGTTTTTTTTTTAGAGATAAGTCCTCGCCTTATGAGAAACTTTGTAAGCGTATCGGTCTCTCAAGTCTTCGTGAACAGCGATTAGCGAAAATGTTGTCCACTGTCTTTAAGATATTAGCCAGTGATGCAGGTCCAAAAAGCTTACGTGATCTTATAACAGTAAGGTGCTCCACTTATAACCTTAGGGGCACCACAATACTGGACCTCCCAAAAGTAAAATCAGCAACCTTCGGGTTAAGATCATGGAGATATGCTGCATCGAAATTATGGAACGCTTTACCGGACGAGTCTCGAAAGATACAAACATTTACTACTTTTAAAAATGACTTAAAAACATTAGATCTCACGGGACTCTAGTGCGGTGAGGATCTATCCTTGATTATATTTACTGTTTTTAATGATTACATTTTATACATTTTACTTGGTGACTACATTGTTAAATTCTTATATTTTAATATTAGCTAGTTCTTAATCTTAATTTATTTAAATTTATATACCTTCATAAGGCTTTATAATTTCCTTTTCTCTTTTTATTTCGTGGCGTACCTGTAAACTAGCTTTTAGCTAAGCGTTCTGACCACGTTAAATAAATTGATTGATTGATTGATTGATTGATTGATTGATTGATTGATTGATTAGGTGAAGTCATTCACCGAATAGGTTGCCTCCCGTTATCTTTAGGGAGATTATGACAACGAAAACCTAGATTTAGATAAAGAATGTTCGTCTTGGTTTACACGTATATAGAGGTAGCAGAAACTGAGACTAACTTTTCCTTATCCACCCCAAAAAGGGATATTTATCGTAGCGTAGGTTTATCGTAGTGTTGAAAATCTAACGTATATATATTCAAGTTACTGAGATAGAAGTATGACGTATATTACGTATATCATTTATATTTGCATAATACAAGCTCACATTCTAGGGGATGAAAACTTTTTTTTGATGTTCATATAAGCTCACATCTTATCGAATAAAAACTTTTTTTGCTATTTTTTATGTTCATATTCTACTTCTAAGAAAGTATAAACACGCATGTTTTACTTAGAACGGACGATTCTTTTCGTTTGGAAATATGTGCTCCTACCGTATGGAGTGCTGAAGGTACTTGGGCGAGCAATACAGCAAGCTTGGACTTGTCTCTTTGTCTAAGAGGAATTGAACACTTTTGAAAAAAATTTGGTTTTAACCCTGAATTGATAATGTGAATCGGCCACCATAGAGAGACTCTGAAGCCGACGTTCAAGCGTTAGCCAGTCTCATAATCTCTTGCTCTCCGTCAGAGCGGATCCATTCGCTTTAACGAAGAGATTTGACGAAGAATTCAGTCCAACAAAGGGCTAAAACTCGAAACACCAACTTTAGAATCTCTTTCAGCCCAGTTGATGAAACCAGATTACCTTGTAATACCCCCATCGACGCAGCACCAAAGTTTCTTTTGAAACTTGCCCCCTTAATTTATAATTTCAGCAACTTTCAAAAAATAATAATGAAACAATAATTGGATTCGGTTTTTGTGATATCCAGAACAATCAAGGTCTCGGTGAGAGTTATCAGCCTCAGCCTTCTTTTCGGCTGATAATCTCTACCTCGGCCTTGGTTATTCTGGATAATAAAAAACCGAATCTAATAATTGTTTTATTATACATGGAACGAAAAAAAAATTATCACGACAGTAAGTGGAACAGATAATTTATTTGTAAACGTATAAAAATATACAAATCAGCGGCACATAATACGATTGACAAAAAGTCTAAGCATTATAAAATATGTGAAAAATTGAGTAAAAGCTAGTTGAGAAAGTAAATAGCAATAAATAAGTTTAACTGAAGAAAATATCGAAGCAAACCTGGATGTTATGTTTTTTCTTCCGTACTAACGGCAAGCAAAACAAAGCGCGCGAGCTTCACATGATTACCCTTAGAAATCATGCACCGCAACCGTTATACATGACACGATTACTCGTTTCCTTGAGTGATCTCGACATGATTATTGTATAATCTGCAGCTAGATGATATCGCAAGCGCTGATTTCGAAATTTCACTTTGCGCTTTCGGTCAATCAGGAGAGAGATAGTGAGTTGAATGTCTAATAAAAATGCTTAATTGCCATGATTGAACATCATCTCGTTCAATGAGGGTCAGGCAATCGAAAATTAACCAAGAATATCATCTCTAACACATGCTAACACCAGACCAACTTTCGAAGCTTCTGACGGAAAGCTGAGCGAGAAAAATAGACAAAAAAATAACGGTGAAAAGTATTATGAGTTTACAGTAAACACGATTTTCTTGGAAAATGTGCTGCTTCTAAGATTCCAAGAATTGCAAAACATTTTAGGAGATGCAAATTGTATATTTTGAATTGCTGTTTTATCATCCAGTTGTCTTTTGGCTTTGATAGAATTAATAATCGTAAAAAAACTTCAAATGAAAACAATAATGTAAAGAGTTTACTTAAAAAGTGCTAAACCATCCCTTCGGTTCAGGTCAGTAGGCACAGTTAAATAACTTCGCGAAAATAATTTGTTTCACCCAGAACATTCCTAAAATGCACAGAAACAATGCTTTGGCTCAATAACTCTATGTTTGGGAAAATCCAATTCTTCCCCCATCGACTATTTTTGTCGATTGCTCTCAACGTTATTGATACGGGCTGGAGATTGCATTTCAGATTACATTGCTGAAGAAAAATAATCCTGTGGTGGCTCGCGATTAGTGATTTCCAAGAAAGACCGGAAGACATCTACAACAAAGAATACGCATGTAACACAGTGAAATACAAGCAACGTTGCCACCAAAATATTTTACGGTGTTATTTGCTTTTTTGAAATTTACAGCTTTACCATAGCTAAATCATCGCGATATTTGGGAAGAAAATTAGAACTTTAACTGTCAGTATAAGAAATGTTCCATCAGAAGCTTAGTAAATCAGTCTCTTTCTTTTTCTCAGAGACACAGATGAAACTTGAATTTACGTACTTTCAGGTTATCGGTTTTCTGAGCTGTTTCTTTAGTGAGTTTATTTCGCTATTTAATCGGAAGAATCGAGAGATATTAAGTTTCTATTCTGAACTCAGAACCTTCCAATCAAAACCACAAAGCCAAAAAGGAATGAAAAAGTCGCTCGTTTAACATGGAAAAGCCGTGAGCTTGGCAACAAGATCAATTAGGATAAATGAATATGAAAGCAATTTTCGCATTAATAAACAGTACTTCAGCAAATAAGGCCCGAAAAAAATTCAGGCCTATGCGGGATTGAACGCATGACCTCTGCGAGAACATGTTCCTTTAACTCAAAGGTGGATGTATAAATCTTTCTTTCCTTGGGGTGCATGAATTAGTGTTTGTTTTCCGTTTTTCAATTTGTCATTTGGGTGAAAGGGAACAAGTACTATAACCAGCTGTTGGCAATTATTTAATATTCTTCAGTTATGTGATGCAAAAAAAAGACCTCGAGCTATTTTTTATTCAAGTCGCGTGACAATCAGGTGACGAACAGCGAAAATACCAGCGAAGCATTTTCGTTTTAGTACAGGAATTGAAGGTAAGTATTTAGTCCTTCCTTCCTTAGTATATCAAATAGTTCTTCACAGCCAATTCTGTTCGAAAGTGAAGCGGTAAGTAAGGTTGAGAGAACTTTTTGATAATCGTGCTGTTGGTCAGTCATCTGATAGGACTCGATAAAAAGTTTACTTGTCTTCCGCTCATAGCTCACAGTTCTTCATCGTCTCTCGAGGAGAAAAATACCAGCAAAGCATTTTCAGTTTTGTACAGGAATAAAAGCTAGGTATTTACTTTTTTCTTTCTCAGTATATGAAATAGTTCTTCGTTCTATGGCTCAGTCTGAACGGCTAACATAAAAATCAAAACTGATTGACAAATTTCAAGACATCATGCCTGTGATCTTGTTTGTCGAACTGAATTCCGTTTACATCACGTTCTCGTTTTCAATTGTAATCATCTTAAAGAACATCTTTTGCAAAATCAAATGGCGTTCAGTTAAGAGTTTCCTAAAGGAATTTTATGTCACATTTCGTTACAACTCGGTTTGTGCTGATGAGACAAAATCGTACGAACATTTCTCAAAGTTGATTCGTGTAGATAGAGGCCACATCCTGATTCGCTCTGACGAAGGGCTAACGCTAGAACTAGAAACGATCTGACAAAGGGCGACCGCTAGAAACGTAGGCCTCAGAAAGTCTTTATCATGTTATTTTAAAAAAATCAGAGTATCCGAACCGGCAACAATCGACTGACCACAACTTTTCTTTCGACTTTAAAATGACTTCCGCTCAGGTTTTTGAAACATCAGTCGCTATTACCGATAACTGTCCCTCACCCGGACGATCAGACTACACGATCAATTAGGTGTAGTGCCGACCTCTTAAAGTAAACCAGACTTTGGATGATTTTGAATTCTAAGTGCAGTTCACGGCAACGATTGTGCGCGATTGTGATTAGTGCACCGACTTGGAAGTTCCATTTATGGATAAAATTTGAAATACTGAATGCAATCGTCATAAGTCAACACATGTGTATTTGTAGCTTTCGATCATCAAAGACGATCGAAGATTTTAGCCACATCGATTTCCCAAGAAAATGGCCACTCTTTCATATTAGATATTTACGTGACTTTACAGTGCAAAACTTTGAAGTGTGCTTACCTTTTCTGTTGCCTCTCAGTGCATTGTGATTGAGTGGAATGAAATCATCTCATTTTCGTCCCCTTAAGGTTTATTTAAAGCTTAATTTGTTCAGAAGGTGCAATTTTTTAAATAATCACAGTGAGATAAACGAAAAATTCACCTTATTCCGGATTTTCTTGGAAAATGCTCATGTGATGGCTAAAGGATTTCAAGACTTCCTGTTAAATTCAGAGACAGAAACATACAATCTACCCTAGAAATATTGTATTTACTACAAGTAAAATTCGTTTGTTACCCTTTAGCACATATTGGATCAACATCCAGAAAATTTTAGTTTCAAAACACTTTGACTGATTTACAAATGTAAATTGCAACCTTTTAAGTGACAACAAAGATTTTCTTCGGAACGTACTCGACCTTGTCACGGTAGCTAAGCATGCACATTGCGATTTTGTTTTGTTTTTCCGGAAAACTTCTTAGAATGCGTAAAAACAGTTCACAGAATGCTGCTTAAAACTTCAGGGCATCTCCAGAAGTTTCGATAAAAGCCGTCGTTTATAGCGGCCTACACCTGCTATAAAGTCCTATAAGACCGCTTACCGCTGTTTGTTTAGCCTGCAAGCTGAGTGTAGTGTTTCAGTCTCGCCTTATGGCCTTATTTCTGGGTACAGCCGCCTTTTACACCATCAGCAGTCGCTTATGGGGAAAAAAATATTGAGACCCCTGCATCTCTGCGAAGTACCGATCAAAATAGTGCGTCGAAAAGCGTGGAAAATAAGATGGATGCTTCCGTACAAAAGCGTCGGTTAAAGAGAGTTAAACTTGCATTATGGCATGCCGAGAGGGACTCGAAGTTATGGACCTTCACTTGATATAATACGTGTTTACAACTAGAACATACATGTCATTGAATTTTAAAATGAGTTTGCTGATCTCGGGAGGAAAATGAAACGAAATTTGAAACATGATTACAGAAAGCTGGAGTTTTGCATCTTTCTATCCTTCATCCCTATATATGTTTGCAGTGAAATAAACTCAATAAAAAAGCTCTGAAAACATCTCATCGGAAGTAAATAAATTTTTTTAGCTGCCTTTCTAAGAAAAGATGGAAAGATGATGTACCTCGACTCTTTCTAAGGGATCAGGAGTCAACATTGTGGTTGCCGAAGATGTTACTTAGGTGTAAGGGACTAAGAAAAAGTGTTAATTTCAGGAAAAGAACCCTAGTACCAGCTATTTGGAAGTATTTAAAGTCCATTTTATTATATCGAGCGACCATTTTGGTTTGCCGCGGCTCATTTATCATTCGCTCATGGTTATCAAAGTTTCTCTTCTTTCAAATAGAATTGAAAAACAAGATTAATTTCCTTAACTAAGCTTATTTTTCTATAGAAGACGAGGGAAAGATCTCTTAATTTCCTAGGTGTAAAGTTTTCGTAAGCTGCCCATTGAGAATTTCGAATTTGTATAGTGAATAAAACATTGAACAAACCGAAACATTTCCGTAATACCTCCTCGCTCGACAAATAGATATACGGGTTAGAACATAAAAAAAAATTAAAGGGCAGTAACAACAACTATTTGAGAGAAATCCTTTCCTTTACGGTCAGGAGACGCTGTGCGGCAAGATCCGAACGGCAAAAATGACAAAATTTCAAGACATTGAATTCCTGTTAGTATCACACACTCATTTTCAACCGTAAGAATCATCCACGAAAAAATTGCCCTTTAGTTGTTTCTTTCTTCAATGTCGACGTAGATAGGCAAGTTAAACTGATTTGGAGCTGATGAGACAAAATTGCAAGAGCATTTCTCAAAGCCGTAGCATGTGAAGATAGGCCAACATTGACATCATGGTCACGTACTTAACAAAACCTTCTTAAAGACACAGCATACAATAAATCGGGATGCTGAGTTTGAAATTAGTGTGACGGAGTACGTTCCAAAATTAAAAACTGTTTCGCATCATTCATGTGATCAGAAGAGATTCTGAACAAGCTATGGTTGTTGTTGTTTCTAGGAAACTATAAGTCTTCAATCTGACCTTTTCGACATCACTCAAAGTTTAATGATTTTACCTTAAATGTAAGCTTTCCTTACCTTCATGGTTAATTTGTTTTATCTTCAACTTGCGATGTTAATTGTAAAGGACAAAAAATGGAACGGATTTGCTGCGGAAGTTAAAGGAGGTTCTTATGACCTTCGAAACGTATCTCTCTCTCTCGGAATAAACACTGAAATTGGCTTAAATAACAATTATTCATTCCGATAAAAATTCCGTCGATCGTTCTACTTACGATCGACTCAAAATAACCGTTCACATCTCACAGTGGGTCTAAAAAGATAAAACATAGACCTAAACTAATATATTTGAAGTGAAAAAATTCTTAATATGTCGCAAATAAATAATTTGAAGAGCAGATTCCAAGAGCAGCTTACTTGGTTTACACGCCTGCATGTTTTCGTGGAAACCAAAAACATACTCATGTAATACGCGAGAGTTGTCAATATTTTAAAAACAAATTCGATCGATCAAATGTATTGTATTGTAAATTTATACGTAGTTGCTGCATATGGCTCAAGTATTTATGCAAACTTTAGAAAAGGTAAGAAATTTGTTCTTCATTGTAGCTTCGTCCATCCGCGAAAGCGAAGAAAATTTCGATTATGATTTGTACTCAAGTGAAAAACTACGTTATTTTGATTTCACAACTCACCTTCAGTCAACTTGCGACGACAAATTCCTCAGTTCTGTGTTTTATTGGTTCCAACAACGGAGGAATATATATTTTCGTGTTTATATGTACCATGAAATACCTAAATTTTAAGCTCAGACAAGAAAATACATTCATCCTTTCTGAGAAAATGTGTGTCGTAATTGTTCAGGATTCCAAGAATTTTATCACACATCACAGCTTTTCATTCTCTTGTCAAGCGGTCAGACTTTTACTTATCCTTCTGATTGCTTTTTTTTTCTTTTGGATGTGTGGAAATGATCAAAATAGATTTCAACAAAACGTTTTTAAGCCCAATTTTGGACGAGGAGCGAGAATATTTATTTCAAAGTGGACCCGTCACGCGAGTGAAAAGTGTTATTGTGTGTTAGGTCACGAAAGCCATTCAAACACAGTGAGACTGGGTATGTTTCTGTCTTTCCCCATATATTCCAACTTGAGAGCAAAAAGGTGCCGCAATTATTTTTTGCCCTTGGGAAAAGTTTTTGATTGATTCCTTGTTCTGGAACTCGAAGTTAATTACTCAGCGTATCACGAACATGTTTGCATATTTGCATATATCCACATGTAACTCGGGATATCTTGTTAAGTTTGTTGATACCAGTCGGTTTCTAAGAAATAGACAGAAAACTCACCAAGTTTAAGGCATGGGATTTTAAAACATAACTAACACTCTTATAGAAAAAATAAACTCAATGCTTTAGCTTAGGGAAAGTTCAAAAAGATACTCGAATTGCATTTCTCAAGACTGTTGTTATAAGTTAGACGAGTGGCATAGATCGCGATCGATGTCATTCGACAGGTTTTTTTTAAGAAATGTCATCCAATTAAGATATCACTCGCTGAGGATAATTGAGTCATCTTAGCATTGAAAGATAATATTGAAAACAACTTCCTGGTGTTTTTTAGATAACTTGCCCACGAGTTAGGAGTGTATGATTCTATTTATCAATCATTCTTTAAAAAAAAAAAAAACATTCAAACTACTGTTTACTTACATGCCATTGCTCGCAGTTTATTTATCTGGGAGTCTTCTATGCAATGCAAAAGTTTCATTCCAGGAAATTTGGTGCCAAACACCTAAGTTATTACAAATCTTCAATAATGTTGATCCAGTATAAATAAATTGTAATAGGCATTTTAAACACAGATTCCTAACTGAAAATCGAGAGTTGCAAAGAATATGTATGAACCAGAATATTACAGCGTAGGTCTTATTCAAAGCTCTGTTCCATCTGGCAGGAATTAACTGTTTTGAAGAAAGAGAGCCAAAATGGTGGATAACGGAGATTCTGTAAAGGGGTCCGTTCAAGATTCGCTTGATGATAAAAAGACGTTACCGACCCCTTTTCAAGAGACTGGTAATCGACAAGTTTCAGAGCTAGCCCCTCATCGTCAACCACGGGGAATTGAAGCTGAAAATCCATCAGCAACAAAAAAGCTGGCCGAAGTAATAGCAGCCCTGCTTGTACTTTTGTTTAACTTGCCGGGGGGATCCTTTGCCATTGTTCTGACTACAGCGCGTACAGTGGTTCAATATATACAAATACCACCAGTAGACGTTGAAGGAAGAGACAAAATGAAACGAGACGTAGAAGAAATTCAAATTATTATGAAGGAAATATGCAATGACGAGAGCAAATTGAAGGACAAGGTAAATTTGCACTTTCAAGATACTCACAGCGTCATTTTACTTAACTTAGATAACGATCACTAAGTATTTGCATTTCATCCATATTTTGTTCAGAGTGTTCTCGCTTTAAATTATACAGAAGATACTTAATCAAGAGCAGATCCTAGGATATGTATGCTGTAGAGCTGTTTATCATAAACATTTCGAAATTCCCAGCAAAAAAAACCAAACGGCATCACAAACTTCAGGCGCCAGAGCAGGAATAAACCTCAATAGTGTTGACACAACAGTTACAACAGCCATGAATGTTACTGATTCCTCCCACCCCATGATTTTCATGTACTATTATTACTATCAACACCCCTTCTATCATCAGTACCATTACATGGCAACCAAAGTCAACTGTAATAATTAACTGCCAACATCAGCAAAACTAACTCGTAAACCGCCACATCGAAAGCGCAATCGAGCGTTGCCACTTGTAACAATAAAACCCTGCGCTGGAGATTTCTATTGCGTGATAGTTGATAGTGGAAAAGCCCGAAAAAACTATCAAGCATAGAAATCGAGAGCGGTTATCCAAATGTTTTGGTAGAAAGGTACACTTCTTTCAAAAGTTAACAAGTCAGGCTAATATTTTATATAATTTTGTTTACCACCACACACTCTTAGGCTACCCATCGTACTCGCTCTCTATCACGGAATAGATGGCGAGTAGCGTAACCAATCAGATTGTAACAATTAAGCTAAAGGAATAGCAAAGTTACCGAGGACCAACAGTAAATTTCATGTGTCAAAATCATTTTGCAGTTTGGCAACTTCCCTTACCATTCAACCGTCGACTTGATAAAGTGGGAATGGGATTTGAGAATCCTGAGGGGTCGTTTAGCCAGATGTGGAGTCGACATACACATTTTACAAGGATTGGTGACTAAACTGGTATCAGAGGCGCACACTGCAGTCAAGTGGACGTTTCCACAAGTAATCACAGGGCTTCTCCTCGCAAGTGCAGTATTTGGACGTAAGTTGATCTTTCTTTTGTTTGTAATAGGGTGTTAGTTTAGTTGCATCTGACATTGGCCAAAAATAAGGAGATGACAGCAATAGAGTGCGAGAGAGAGTGTTTAGCTTGACTGCTTTCCCTTAAGACCCTGCACGAAATCAAACTTATTCATAAAATGAAATAATTCCCAAGGAAAGATAGTGAGCTCGTAAATACCTCTTACTACTCGAGTTCGATGTCCGAAAAGCAAGATACAGCCTCCCCCAACGAGTGGAAAACAGCCGATAAACACGAGCCAATCAAAGCTATGCATTATGCTTCATAAGGTGTCGCGTAACGCTGTCGGCTTTATCAATCAAATTAAATGCTGAAACAGAGCGAAGTCGAAATGTCGTTATCCACACCGTGAGTTACTACATCTCCTCTTTCCATTGCTCCATTTCAATCGTTCTCTAGATTGCTATTACTGGGCTCCCATGCCAGGCGTTTGGGAAGGAGGTTCTTTGATCCTGGTGCTGATTTTGCTCGTGCGCAAGGCTCAAGATTATTACATCATCGATCAGATGGTCCGTGAGGGCAACAGAGTCAAACGCGAATTAGAAGAGTCCCGGCGCTGTTACATGAAGTGCAAAGTAACCTTAGAGGAGACCTTGCCTTCTTTGAAAGAGATGGTTGATAAATTTGATGGTGGGTCTTCCTCACCAAAGATTAAGAGTGAATGATTTGATTTGCAAAAGGCTCCAAGAGGCTTATTTATGAACTAATTACTGGCAGTAATAGCTTAAAAAGCAAAGGAAAAAACTCAAAAGCTAGAAGCAAAAGTGGAAGAGATGAAAACTGATTTGATGTCATTTTGTTGAGTTATTAAGTAAGTTCTTACCGAATTTTTCCAAACGATGACTTACTGCTACTTTCTCTCGAAGAAGATAATTCGAAATCTTCCTCGTGTTATGAAAGGATTGTTTTGCTAGCACTCAGATTTTTGTTCTTCCAGTTTAAATTTGGAGTTCACAATGAATGAAAACAGGTAGGATTCTACAAAGTACCTCGAAAAGGCCTCTTGAAGCTAAATGAAGGACTCGAACTATCACACTTAATCAAGTAAACCTAGAACATAACTCATAATGTTAACTCTTATTTTATAAAGCTTGAGATAACTCTTATTTAGGGAACGTGAGTAGAAGCATATGGATACAGCTAAATAGCTAATTCACAGACTTTAAAATTAATAAGGAGTATAGTTGGATAGCCTTATGAACCGTGACGTAGCTGGATGAGTGCAACCCTGCTGAAAGAGAAAAAAAAGTTTATGAAAAAGCCACAAAATGCTAGTTGCCTTCTCTCACCTTTATCCGCGCAACAAAGTGGAAATACGAAGTGACCATTACGAGTATCAAACAACTGAAGTCAGACTCAAACAAAGCATTTTGATCTTCAATGGCGTAGCGTATTTTATTATGATGAACTGTTTCTGCAGGACTCGATTAATATTAATATTTATAGGTAGACACAAGGCACAGAAGGCTTACAACATTGTTGTTTTAAGTTTCTTATTGATTTATGTAACTGTTTTAAAGACTTCACTGTCGGAAAATCTAAATCATGTTTATAAACTGACATCGCAGCTATTAACAGATAAATAAGTATTACTCTCTAAGTTAAAATGGAGATGAATAATGTTAGACGACACAAATCGCTGACGATGGATACTGTATGTCGCTTAGGCATCTTTTTGTATTTTACTCTATTGGTGTTGGGAAATAAAGGGAAATGTATATTAAAAGAATCTGAGTGAAGTTTTCAGTCTGCTTCGTTAGTGAATTATTAAGATAATTAAGAGACATCAAAATCTTATCAATTCGGTTCGTAATGTTTCAACGGAGAACAGAAAGCTTTCCCTGAGACGAGCTAACGTTGGGAAGGAGTGCAAGCCACATGGGCGCCGGCATACTTCGTTTGATACCTTTTGGAAGCGACGACGATTATAAAAGACGTGTCTGTTAAGCGGCTGAAAAGGTTCTAAGAGAGCTTGTGTAGATATCGAGCCGGTGTAAAAGTACAGGGAAAATTTATCAGCAGGAACATTGTTTAAAGGTTTGATAATAGAATAGGCTAGAGATGTGTTCAGAAATGACACATCACGCTGAGATGTTTTATTTGTAAAGCACTGAAGTTCGTCCTTAAAATGCTATTGTCGATTATTGTTGCGAAAATTGTTTTTAGATTTCTGGAACATTCAGGCTGCCGAAAAAGTCAGTCAGTTAACTCAACAAATATGCTGTTCGAGCAAATCGTCACCCGGAAGATCACAATGACACGAATGATTGTTGCTTCATTGCACCACAAATTATCTAGCTTTACAGAGATACATTGTAAATAGTGGAAAAGGTAGAATCTGCCAAGACAAGTGACCATTCAGCCGGACCTTGTCCAGGTTTCTGTGGCATGAAGTAACTGGAGGTTTTGCTACTCCCCCTGGATGAGATGTTTGTCCGTAGCAAAGGTACCCTCCAACATTTCGTCAGGCTTCCCCGAACGTTTTCCGGAACTTATTCATAATCCTTGGTGGAAAAGGGAAACTATGTAGGAAAGTGTCCCGCCCAAGATCTAAAGTCTCACAGGAAAACCTGGGAGAAAAGTTAATCTTTCTCTAACGGTAAGAGTGATGAGCGATCACATTGGGTAGGATGGCAAACAGAGAAATGAAAATTTGAGTCTTTATGTATTCCAGAAAATACAGTAGAAAACAGGTCATTGTCCATGAATCATCAAGAGTTAAGATCAGTCATTTGTTGAGAAACCTCTTTGGCCTTTAATAGGTAACAAAGCAAGAAACGGCATGCGCGAAGGGGTCAATTTTGTCTGCCTGCGCGACAACTTACCGCGCGCCAACCTCCCGCGCAAAATGCAACCGCTCTCCCAAAAACAAGCGAATGATAACTGAAACTTTTGTAGAAATCTATAAAAGGAAACAAAGTAGCCCAAAAGAAACCTCGAGACTTTTCAAGCTAAATGTTTATTCAAGTACGATTATCCTGTTTATTTACCATTCTGTTTCGAGCTTTACCAAACAAGTTTTACGCTTCTAAAACACCGTGACTTGACGGCCGGCTTTATTTTTGTTACTTGTGTGAGGCAACTTGGTTCTGCCAGCCAGAACGTTTAAAATCCAATCTAAATTTATCCCACAATCGAGCAATATTCAGGGAATATCGACTTCAAAGTACTGAAGAGTGATTTCACATCAATAGACAAAGGCATATATTTCATGCCTAGGAAATTTTGGCCTATACTATTTTTCACCTCCACCTCTTTAAAAATACTATTACTTCCTACATCTTATTTTATTTACTTAAAATATCGTTACCTAATTATAATAGATACAAAAACAAATAAAAAACATACAAATACATTCTTACGATAAAGATGCTTTCGATAAAGATGGTAAAGCTTGGAATAAAAAAGAAATGCAGAAGCTCCAGGCCTAAATTGCACCAACCATTTTTAAATTGTCCATTTTAAGTTGTCCTTCAGTAGCATGTTGCTTGAGAAGCAACATGCTACTGAAGACAACCTTAAACGTTTACGTAATAGTTAGAGGAAAAAGGGAAATAGGATAACATAGCATAAATATTGAGCAAAGTAAAATTAATACAGTGCTCTTTACTCTTTCATTATACAACTGATTGCTGCTTGATTTCCTTGTCTGTTTTTTACGTATAGATATAGGAGTGTCCTTCCAATAAAAAAAATTAGAAAACTTTCAGCTTTTACTGATTGTAATAAATAAACCTGTTAAAACTGCCTTGATATGAGTAATCAACAAAATTGTAACAAACTATGCGCAATGTTTTCTTTCTTTACAATAGAATTAAAAAGAACCTGAGCAGTTATACTAAAACAATTACCAGCCTCAGTCTCAGTAAACATTGTTAAATAATCACTTTGACTTCGTTACAGAGATTATTTAATCACAATGTAATAACAACAGGAAAACTATGATAATTATAATCTCACAATCCTAAACAAAGGAAGTCAGTTTAGAGACTCGCCTGCTACAACTTTTGTGGGCTTAAAGTTCTAAAAAAGAAACATGATGAATAGTTACAGTTAATACGAGAGTTGAAAGTTTGAAAGCTGAAAGATATGCATTACAATCATCAAACCCTACACATCCCAGCGAAGATAGGGTCAATTACCGCCATAAATTTCTCAATACATTTCTATTGACGGAGAATCATTAATTTTTGTCAGTAGGTGCCTTTCAGTTAGTACATACAGTAGTTCTGCCGAGCAAAAATACATTTTTTTCAGTTATCTCAGGTAACGTAGAGGGGAAGATCAAGGGAAGAAGCCTGAAAAAGTCGATCAAGTGCCACTCCCACCTCACAAAAGGTTTGACGTCGAATCATGAACGCCTGATACCTAAAGGTCATCGCTACGCCAGTCATAGCCACAAGTTTTTGAAGTACCAACATTTATGCGTTCAGGAAACATTTAGCGATACATCCAGTACAACTCAACTCAATAAAATAATCTTTGGAGGAGTGATGTGACATTGGCAGTTCCTTAATGTAGTAGAAGAATTTTGTTGGTCAACTACGAGGCCAAAGAGTTCTGTTAAGAGCTCCAGAACACAAGAGGTTTGTTAAGTAAAGCAGGAGTCAATGAGCTCCAGTAAGAGCTCCCGATCGTTAAAAGGTTGTTGGTCGATCAGAGAGTCAATAAGCTCTAATAAGAGCTCCTGATCGCAAGAGTTCTATTGGTTAACCTGAGATTCAATGCCCACCAAACGAGCTTCCAATAACGAGAGGATTGTTTGTTGATCGGGTAGTCAATGAGCTCTGATAAGAGCTCCCGATCACAACACGATTTTCGGTCGATCAGGGAGTCAATGAGCTCTGATAAGAGCTCCTGATCGCAAGAAGTTTGTCTGTCGATCAGGGAGTCAATGAGCTCTCATAAGAGCTCCTGATCGCAACACGATTTTCGGTCGATCAGGGAGTCAATGAGCTCTCATAAGAGCTCCTGATCGCAATTTTGATCGATCGGGGAGTCAATGTGCTCTGATAAGAGCTCCTGGTCGCAAGAATTCTCTTGGTGAACCAGACATTATATGCGCTCTAAGAAGAGCGCCCAATCGCAAGAACCTTGACTATCAGTAAGAATGTGTCGGTAACCTCTCCTGTTGTTCCACAAATAGCCAATGAGCTCTGGCTAAAGCTCCCGATCGGAAGAGAGTTGTTGATCAATTCTTGAGTCACTGAGCTCTAATACGAGTTCCTGATCGCAAGGAGACTCTGATCAATCAGGGAGGGAATAAGCTCTGATAAGAGCACCCAATAACAATAAGTTTGTTGGATGATCAGGAAATCAACGAGCTCTGATAAGAGCTCCTGATCGCAAGAAGTTTTTGATCGATCAAGGGGTCAATGAGCCCTTATCATCTTGTCGATCGGGGTGTCAATGAGCTCTGATAAGAGCTCCCGATCATAACATGTTTGTTAGTCGATCAGGGAGTCAATGAGCTCTGATAAGAGCTCCTGATCGCAAGACATTTTTGATTGATTGGGTGTCAATAAGCTCTGATAAGAGCTCCTGATCGTGAGAAGTTTGTCTGTCGACCAAGGAGTCTAGAGTTTTGTCGGTCAATCAGAGATTAAATGGATTTGTTGATCGGGGTGACAATGAGCTCTGATAAGAGCTCCCGATCAAAACAGTTTTTTTTGGTTGATCAGGGGAGTCAATGAGCTCTGATAAGAGCTCCTGATCGCAAGAAGTTTTTGCTTAGTCAGGGGGTCAATGAGCCCTGATCATCTTGTCGATCGGGGTGTCAATGAGCTCTGATAAGAGCTCCCGATCATAACAAGTTTGTTGGTCAATCGGGGAGTCAATGAGCTCTGATAAGAGCTTCCGATCGGAAAACGTGTGTTGTCCTCTCAGGGACTGAGTGAGCTCTGATAAGAGCTCTCGACTGTAAAAAGTTTGTTGGTCAATCAGAGATTCATGTTGTTGATCGGGGTGACAATGAGCTCTGATAAGAGCTCCCGATCATAACATGTTTGTTAGTCGATCAGGGAGTCAATGAGCTCTGATAAGAGCTCCTGATCGCAAGACGTTTTTGATTGATTGGGAGTCATTAAGCTCTGATAAGAGCTCCTGATCGCGAGAAGTTTGTCTGTCGATCAGGGAGTCTAAAAAAAGTGCAGAAAGTTTTGCCGGTTAACCAGAGATTTAATGGATTTGTTGATCGGGGTGACAATGAGCTCTGATAAGAGCTCCCGATCACAATAAGTTTTTTGGTCGATCAGGGGAGTCAATAAGCTCTGATAAGAGCTCCTGATCGCAAGAAGTTTTTAATCGATCGGGGAGTCAATGAGCTCTGATAAGAGCTTCCGATCGCAAAACGTGTGTTGTCCTCTCAGGGACTGAGTGAGCTCTGGTAAGAGCTCTCGACTGTAAAAAGTTTGTTGGTCAATCAGAGATTCATGTTGTTGATCGGGGTGACAATGAGCTCTGATAAGAGCTCCCGATCATAACATGTTTGTTGGTCGATCAGGGAGTCAATGAGCTCTGATAAGAGCTCCTGATCGCAAGACGTTTTTGATTGATTGGGAGTCAATAAGCTCTGATAAGAGCTCCTGATCGCGAGAAGTTTGTCTGTCGATCAGGGAGTCTAAAAAAAGTGCAAAAAGTTTTGCCGGTCAATTAGAGATTCAATGGATTTGTTAATCGGGGTGACAATGAGCTCTGATAAGAGCTCCCGAT